ACAGGGTACATTAGCAGAGTGCCAGTAGGGGCAGCAAAGCACACAGCCTGCCTAAAGAAATAATGGCTAACTTAAGCTCATAAACATGCTTTTTCTTGCTGTCATACTTATACAGGTTGTTTTGTCTGTCCAAAGAAAGCAGGTCCTGGGTTTTAAAGATGTTTCTGGGATTCTGATTCGTGAAGCCTTTGAAGACTTGTTGTTGTTGTGAACCCTCTTTCTTTGCACTTCTTCACTGAGTCTTCTCTTCATTGCAGATATAGATAATGCTATGACTAACTGCTGGAGAGAAAAAGGATTTCTTTGCATCTTCCATGGATGTCTAGGTCTTTATGCCAAGGTGTGCGTTTTATTTCGTCGCGTATGTGCTCATTCAGACACTCCAAATGTTTCCACTGTCTCTCTGATGTTTTGTTTTTGTAGTATATCTTTGTCATTTACATTAACAGGTCCTTTGACTGCCTCATATGGTTTAACAGCTGCAGTTTCAAATCTGGAATTGACTCCACAATCAGATTCATTGTATTTGTCTGCAATAATTCATAAACAGTCACTAAGTGGGGCACTCCCGTTCCTAAAAGCATCTTTTGACTGAACTGTCCTCAGTGTGGAAACATGGCTGTAATTCCTCACCAGTTAGCAATGAAATTAAGGTGGAACATTTAAAAAATATCGTCATTGTTTCATTTTAAATGTACTGTGCAGGCACACAGAGTACTAGCACAACTACATAATGATTTGATGTTAAAGAATTCAGTTTGAAAAGATACTTCAGGAAATCTGTACCTAAAATTTTGCCAAAATTTCAGACAAAACAGTTTTCCAGAGAGAGCGAGGGAGGTTAGACATTGAGGTCAGCTGTGCTACTTCATTTTCATAAGTACAGGTGTCACTCCAGGCACCCCAAATATTTTATTCATTTTAAGTGACAGGTGGAGAGAGGAGATTTTTGCACTCAGACACCTGGATGCCCTACTAACTCCGAATGGTAGCTAATAGAGTCCGACATGAGCTCCATTTAGCAGAGGAGAGGGAAATAGTTGAAGAGAGAGAGAGGGAAAATGAGAGCGGTAGCTTGCAGGTGTGGAGTGAGGCTGGATTGCCACCACAGCGCTGTGAAAGTCGACTGCTCGAGGGATTCTAGCAGGTCAAACAGAGAAAATTAATATGTTCTTTAGTAGTGTGGATAGTGTTGAAAAATCTGGATTTTCTACCTCTTTCCACCATGAAAGTAGACGGACTGCTTTTAGGTGGATGAATATAAAAGGTTTAAATTTCCCACATGCATTAATGTGTCAATTTGTGACAGACTGGCTAATTGTTTGAGGCTTCTTCCCACTTTCTGGCCCTTACTGGAATCAGCGCCAATCCCCAGGGGACCACAGAAAGCTTTAGCTGTGTAATGATTGTTTTATCTTAGCAATGCGCCTCTGGAATTTTATATAATAAAATAAAGGCCTTAGAGACGCCAGGTGCATTAGTAACAAAAAGATCAATGGAAAAATCCTGTTTGTGTTCCTGGATCAGTTTTGCGTGGCCTCTTCTCTCTTTATTTAAGAGTGTGAGAATTTTGAGATAAACTAATGAGAAGCTAAGACAGCGCCCACTCCAGCAAGGGGAGTAATCACAAAACCCAAAGAAGGGAAAGCAGGAAAGTCATAATGTTACTGTTTCCTGCCAAATTGATATCTAGCCATGGAAAGTCTCAGCATGTTGTGGTTTTCAAGGTGGCGGTCAACAATCCTGACTAATGTTATGCCAAGGACACTTGTTTTTAAATCAAAGTCTTCTCGAGGCCAAGAGCTGATTTAAAACACACATTTCAAACACAGGTTGAATCCTCAATGAAGAGCAACAGCAACGCCGGAACAACTCTTAGGCCAAATAGTGCCAACTCTTTTTGCTGGCTCATCCATCAAACTCCGAGTGAAATGTCACTCCACAAATGTCTCCATAGACTAGAAAAGTCCCCTATCTCCTTTCCTTCCCCCCATTACACAGTCAAGTCCATTTTACGCGATCATTCCTGCTAACCTTTAGAAAAACTTGTCTTTTTCTTTTCTCTGTGAGCCCGACAACATGGACAAAGAGCAAGTATCTCCAGTGTCCATGTATCATATATATTTTAGCACATAGAAAAGAAAGGAGAAAAAAGATGTTTGGAGGTTTTAACACCCTTTAGGACACACAAAACCCCTTCTTTCAAGCTTATTTCATTTCGTTTTATTTTAGGTGGCCATAGGCAATACTATTTATCTCTAAACATTCCTTTTTGCTAAAGCATATAGTGCTGGATCAGGAGACTCTGAATCCTCTCTTAGTTATGCTGCAATTGGTGTAGACTGCCGGGGGGATTCCAATGATGCATTGAGTGTTTCTTCTTCATTCACCTTTCTCACTCACTATGTGTTAACAGACCACTCTGCATTGAATCATACTTGTTATGAATCTCTGTATCTCTTCCACAGCATGTCTTTATCCTTCTGGTCACAGCAGATGGCCGCCCCTCCCTCAGCCTGGTTCTGCCGGAGGTTTCTTCCTGTTAAAAGGGAGTTTTTCCTTCCCACTGTCGCCAAAGTGCTTGCTCATAGGGGGTCATATGATTGTTGGGGTTTTCTCTGTATGTATTATTGTAGAGTCTACCTTACAATATAAAGCGCCTTGAGGCGACTGTTGTTGTGATTTGGTGCTGTATAAATGATATTGAATTAATCACTAACTCATACCTATGCTAGAAGTGAAGTGGTCTTTGATATCAAAGGCATGGCAGGTCCACATCCTGATGGGAGTGCTGGTTAGACAACAAAAGAAGTGAAGTGAAAGAGCATGGAATTCATTTCTCAAATGAGTTTTCAAAGTAATTATATCAAATGCAAAGCATCTGCACTGAGTGAACTCAATGCCCTAAAAGAAAACGCCAAAAACACAAAACGTCTCATTGCTTTTGGCTCAGTTTGAGACAACATGTTTTGACCATAAAGGTCTGCACATAATCGTTGATCACAGCGCATTATTTTCTGTTCTGGACAATAAAATTTAATAGAAGTCATAAAAGCACACCCTGAGGACACTGATGTAAACCCTTTCTAAAGAATCTGCTTATTTAGCTCAGAATTGCATTCAGTTTTATTCAATTCAGTCGACCAAATTTCTGTCTTTGACTTATACAACTCCTGGTGTACACTGTACACTCTTTATGTGAATGAAGAATAAATGTTACTTAGCACAGTTTAAAAAAAAAAACCTCACTACTAAGTTTCCCTGAACAAGCTGGCAGGAGCCAGAAACACATTTTGGGTGGGCGGGTTGGGGAATTCTGCCATTGACTCAAAGCTGTAACTTCTTTACTACACCCGTACTGTATAATCAACAGAGTACATCCAAATGACCTGTGTATGTGAATTCACTGTAATGTCTATATACTCTCGCAGTCCTACTATACCTGGTGGTTAGAAAAACATCTTTAATTATAAGCACTTAAATTTTCTGGCAAGTGCTGTTTTTGCAGAAAGATGATTTATTGTCAGGTGCACTAGAGGGGCAACAATGAGACAACCCCCAAAACAGGAATTGTTTTACAGGTGGAGGTCACTGAGATTTTGTCCCTAATCATTGTTTCTGGCTGTTTTTTCACAAGTTTTGCATTTAGCTATGGTCACTGTCTCTGTTGGGAGGATGAGGCAATATCTGAACCCTACTGAGGTTGCACACGTAGTCCGACTCCCAACATAGTCTCAAGAGCATGGAGGAGATTCCAGGAGACAGACAGTTACTCTAGGAGAGCTGGAACAGGCTTCAGAAGATCCTTAACCCCTTAGCAGGAGCAGTATTTGGACCTTTGTTCAAGGAGGAACAAAATGAGCACTACTAGTGTGACAAAATGACCTCCAGCAGGTCACTGGTGTGAAAAAAAAAAAAAAGTTTTAGGAGGCCCTGTGCAAATTGTCAGGTCTACCACTGACGCCCTGTACTATTCAAACACTACTCTGTTCCAGTTGATTCCTCCTGTACAACAAAACCTGTCCCTGTGTGGCGAGAGCATGCATGGAAGGGTATTAATACCACTGACTGGGATGGATCGATGTTTCGATCCATCCAACATTGCCAGGTTGCACTGCAGACTATCCAAGAGGTTGGCGATACCCTGGTCACGATCTGGGAGGAGATCCTCCAGGACACCAGCATTGTCAGGCATGCATACAAGCATGTGAGGGCCAAAAAAACCCCAAAAACCAAAAAAGAATCACCTGGGATACCATTAAACCATGTGGCATCCTTTGATTCCTAACACATTACGCAGTTCACGTCAGTATAGACATCCAGCATGATCTGATGTGTTTCTAAGTGTTCCTTTATTTACTTTTTGGAGCTGCACATTAATCCTCAGTAAAGTTTTCTAATCCTAGAGTCAAGATGTTTTAAGACATTTACTTTTGAATGAGTGAATGTGAGTGTGAATGGTTGCCTGTCTCTGTGTGTTGGCCCTGCGACAGACTGGCGACCTGTCCAGGGTGTACTCCGCCTCTCGCCCTATGACAGCTGGGATAAGCTCCAGCGCCCCCCGCTATCCTGAAAAGGATAAGCGGAAGCAAATGGATGGATGGAAACTAGTGTTAGGAAAAGTTGCAAAGAAGAGTGAGAGTAATCAATTTGATTAATACATTATGCTGTAACCTACAGTAGCTTTCACAGCCTGCACAAGTTGTCAGCCCATACAGAAAGACAAAGAAACGAAGAAACAAATACAAATGAAAACAGTATTCACACTAAAGGGTTGGACAGTTTTTATAAATTTAATATATCAATATATAGAGATATTTATCAACAGCTTGATTTCATAGAAACGTGAGTGAGACCATTTTGGCATACAGTACAGATATTCAATGTAAGTACAGAAGTTGCTAAGTTGTCAACACTCCCCCCCCCCTCAACAACCCGCCCCAGTTAACCACCCACCCCCCCCCACAAAAAAAACCCCAAAACCCCCCCCCCCCCAAAAAAAACCAAACTAACAAAAGACGAATTAAATTTAAACAGAATTAAATACAGTGGAAACTCTAAAAATCCGCATTGCTGTTAAAAAGCAGGAAAGTAAAACAGAAACGAACAAATGGAAGTGAAAGTAATACAGGAACACTTTGGCAGATTATTAAATTTTAGTTACAATCAAGTAGTAAAGAAATCCAGTGCTCGTGTGTACAAATAAATTCATACATCGTCTACACTCCTTTTACCCCAGAAGTTTATGTACATCTTTTTTCTCCGTTTTTTTGCCGCTGTTGTTGTTTTTACAGATACATTTAAAACATTATCAAAAGATTTCTGCAGTATGAAAACGTATTATTTACAAGTCAGGATTCAAAACCACTGGACTGTACCACTGGACACCCCCCTCGAGCCCCAACCCCACCACACTTTTATTTCCTCCCTTACAAAGAACGTTATTTCTTTACACAGTGCAGAAGGCTTTTTGAAAAGTTTTGTGCAACAAACAGCATAAAGAAAAAATGCCTGTCTTATGGCTGAGGAATGGTTAGAGGCCCGAATGTTTTTTTTTTCCTTTTCCTTTTCTTTTTTTTTATCTTTCCTTGCAGACAAAGACATATCAGCAAGATTTCTGAGAAAATGTAGGTGGACAGTTTTGCAAAAAAAATAAAAATCTGGAGCCTTAGATTTTCTTTCAATTTCTTCATCTTGTTTGACTGTGGAAGGACCATAAAAACGTATCAAAACGTTCCCCCTGTACATATCATCATCATCATCCCGAGCCATGAAAAGATTTACACAAAGATCACCTTCTTTCCCGAAAGCCTTCATTTTACACAGAGTGCCCAAAAATCTAGGCAACTGAACGCTGCCCCTTCAAGTAATCAAACATCAAGTAGATTACACATGAAACTAGAAATAGTCTGGTGAGGAGATAGAGAGGGAGAGACAGAGAAAGGAGGAGAGTAACAACTACAACTCACTTACACAGTCCAAAAAAAAAACCTCCCCACATAACAAAAAGAGGAGTCAGTGTATCGAGGAAAGTCACTGGGTCAACAAAAGCTAAGTGCCATCCAAGTAGAGTCACTGAGGGTTCCTTCCACAGTCCAAAACTGTAGCTCAAGGGGGAGGCCGCTTCTCCAAGCTGAGTGTGATTGTTCACCGGTTTGCTGGTTCACATTTTTCTTTCTATCTCTGGGGACTTCCTTATTATTTTTGTTGTTGTTTCAGGTTATTTCCTCCAGTGTTTTCTTTTTCTTTAATTCTTCCACTGTGTGCCTGTCTACCCAAAGACTGAGAGCCCTTGCCAAAGGAAAGATGTTCATGGGTGAGATGAAGATGAGAGGGTTGCAAGCGAATGAGAGTGCACAGAAACAACAGCGTGGACTTTGCCCTCGAAGCTAAAATTCAACAGTGCGACAGCCAAAGAAACACTTTAAAACTCACAGTTGGAATTACATTTGATACAGTGCTCGAGGAGATGAAGCGGTGGAGCGATGTGAGAAGAGCATTGTGGTTAAAGCAACGTAAGGTCTCCGCTCAGAAAAGGAAAAGACAAGCAACAGTACGATAAAATGGAGAGCACAGATCAGGAAGACTGCATCGGGGTTATCAGGACTGTTAGTATTTACTATTTATGCTGATAACAAGCAACAACTTCCTCCCTCGATTTAGTAACAATTTGCACAGTTTATGCACCTAAGGTGTCCATTGGGATTGTTCTGAATATTTGTTTTCTCAATCAGTGAACGAGTTAAATAGAGTTAAATATCAAGGAGTTAAATATTATAAATATGCCTATACATATGCTTTTGCTGGTGTAAACAGTATGCATTCTACATAAAATAACAACTTATATTCATTTCAATCCTGTCACCTAGAAACTACACTGAAGCAAAACACAGTCTCTAGCAACACATTTTATATGTAGTAGCTGTAGGCCTCTATACATATAAAGGGACCATGTTAGTCCTTTTATATAGTTCTGATATGATATATGTAAATATTAGCTCTGGTTTCTATTTGGACTGTAGGTGAGAGCTGTTTGAGCAGCAGTCAACTAAAAGCTCTAAAACAGAAAGGAAAATAGCTCTTCTGTTGTTTTGTATGCCATCTGTTCACCTTGAACATCTGATTGCCAATTCTGGTTGGGCGTGGTATATAAGCATAATGTATTCTCCTTCAAAGACAAACAAAACAAAAAGACAAAACAACCTAGCATCTACAAGCGTCTGAACGATATAGAATTCTTAAAACTAATAGTCAAAATTGCTGATTTAAATTTGATAAACTCATATCAGCTGATATGTAGTTGTTTACTCATTTACACACTGCCTGATGTTGTTTGGATCTGCTGCTTGTTGCGTGTGTGGCATTACCGCCAACAGGGAAGTTGCGACGCGCCCTCTAGTGGACAAACTATGCAACATCAACCAATAAAATCGACCTTTCAGATAACATTTTAGTATTAAGTACCATATAAATGTCATTTCTAGGTGACAGCATTGATTCTGTGCTAAAAGTAAAATAGCAAAGCGTTCACTTCACCAGAACAAATGTACCCTGTTTTCTTCCTTCAACAAAAGGTAGTGAGTTCCAGTAACTCAGAAATCCATACAACACAACAATGCCAAGACCAACTCATTTTTCTCAAAGATTTCAAGTTTACTAGCGAGACATTTTTAGACGTACATCAACATTTTCAATTCAGTAAACACAGTCTACAAGGAAAAAGTTCATTTTAGTGCAGTATATTTCCCCATTAATTGTTAAAGAACTCACAGTATCGTTTATAATGTTGCACTTTGTTCTCTAAAGCAGCGATTACTAGATCAACACTGAACTAAAAAACAAATAGTGACCCAGTGCACTCTAAGCTTATCTGACCTAGAGGAAAAAAGCTGATATAGCCGACATCACACCAGTGGTTAGTCCCTTAATAGTCTTGTAAATATGGAACAACAGTGAAGCAGATGTCTAGAGAGCCTATGGTCACAGTAAGCCCTCCATTGCCACTACAATTACTACCTTGAATAGTTACAGACAAAGAACTGTTCCGGACTTCTTTCAATGACCTTCAGAATAGACGAATGTTCTTGAGGTGACCACACAGTGGACCAGCCAATCTGTCTTCACACTGTAGCCATAATAAGTTTCCTACACCTCAATAAATAAGCAATTTATTCTCCTACCTGCACCCCCCACCTACAGCATGGAACTCGATTAGACCTGAAGCAAACATGGACATGAAGGAAAGTGTTGGCACGCAGAGCTGACTCAGCTCAGGAAGCTGTGATTTATTTAATCTTAAATTCACAAATATAGCTTACATCCAGATTTTTCCATCACTACCTAATCTCTCCTTTGGGAACTGGATCCTATACGCATGAAAACTGCAGTGGCTAATCTACATCATTGTTTTTAGTGTTTAGTCAAATCTGTTCAATATATGTCAATTCTTAAAGGCCTAAAAAGCAGTCACTGGTGGAAACTAACAAACCAGTCTAACGTCATGCTGAGTGGAGTCCCAATCTTCCCCACTGTGCAGTGCATTACATTTTGCTTCATCTGTACAAGGTGAAGATGAAGGGAGATGGCCTCCCCCTTGCGCTCGATCCTCCTCCGTTAGATGGATGTAGGGGGAGCGCGCTGCTGGAGAGGACTACAATTTACCTGTCTAGCTTGCTACTTGTCACACACAGTTCACACAACTGTGCTTCATAAACTGAGAGGAGAGAGTGCCATCCTTTCGAGGGAGGCGAGAGGAGCGACTGTCAGAATACGGCGATGCCAACACTGGCAGAAATCCGGGAAAACAAACGACCCACCGTTCATCTTCCAAGTACAAACCTGCTCACATATGGCGGCGTATAAATTCTGGCAGTCAAGCCCTACACCACCTTTCATCTTTGTTTTCCTTGCCTTTCTGTTCCTCCCTCGTGGTTATCTGAGCTTCTCGCTGAAGCTAAGCCTTCCAAGAAATAGTGAAATCCATGAATAATAACCGTCATTAATCAACTGTTGCATGAATACATAATCTGAGACCGTACTGAGTCTAGGATGGAAGACTTTAACATTTGCATTGGGAACTTTTGTGTGTGTGTGTGTGTTATTTAGTCATATTGGATTTACTAGTCCAATATGTAGGATCTTACATGCAGCATTGATCAGATTCATTAGGCAAGAATGGAAGACGAGTGTTTCATGTATTTATAGTTTAGACCATCCAAAACTGCCTTACAGAGTATATAATGTGTTTTAACTGTGCTTAAAACTGTCAAATTTTCAATTAGGACACTAAACGATGTCCTGAATAAGAACGCTGGCAATTTGCCTCGACTACTTGTAACAGTTCTGCTATTCTGTCATCGCGGCCTCTAGTGATTCCCTATTCCAGCACAAGATGAGCAATTATTACAATATTCATTGGCATGAATCGCAACTGATTCAATAGGCTGGAAGCTGGTTCGAAGCAAGTCAAGGAAGATCAGGTCCCATTTTTCAAATCAGCGCTCAGCTCAGTTGGCCTCGGTGTGTTACTCATCTGCGCACCGCACAGAGACGGTGACAAGACATAAGAAATACAGCATCACATCCAGAAAACACACAGCTGCATTGTTAAAAAGGGGGAGTAAAGGTAGCCCCCCACCCCACCTCATCCCAAAAATCAAACAAACAAAAAACTCCAGCTGGGACTGATGTTTAAGGGGTCACTCAAAGTCAAACACCTCTGTGTTTTCTTGCTGTGATGAGCTTGTCATCTCACTCTTCATTTCCTCCAGAATTCCTATACAGCAAGTTCAGCATGCACTTACATGTTTTTAAATCCGATCACTAAACAACTATTTAACATCCAATTCCCTGCATCAATTCAAAAGAATATGTTCTCGCTGCTAGAATATTGACGCTGGCAGATGCAAATGAAGACTCAGAAACACATGTGGGATTCTTGCTACTCAGTGCAAACAGGAAAACAATCCCAAGTTCATTATTGACTGTATGTACACCTCTGATGGCAGAGGCCAGGGGATTACCCATAATCCTTTGCCTTTTCTACCCTGCTGCTTTCAGCCTTGAGGCACTACCCTCTGGTAGCACAAACCCTCCAATTGCAAAGGGAAAAAAAAAGAAAGAAAAAGTCTCCTTTATCCCCAAAATCACCTCTAAATGTACGACGACCCCATCAGTTTTCCTCTCCTTGGCTATATTTAGCTTTACAGTAAGTGAAAGGGCAAATTTGAGGGACTAGGTGTGAAAAAGGATGACACCCCCCTGCAACAAACCCCTTCAAAAAGGTCTCCTTACATGACAATGAAGAAATACAGCGTCCTTGCTTGCCACTGTACTGCACCATCCTTCCAAACTTGTCTTTCGTGCTGTGCACTGAGAGGTGCTGGTCACATATTTACAACAGCAAACGCAACAGAAATAAATACAGTGAAAGCACGAGGAATTTAAAATGATGCACGCCGCCTTCTCCTGCTTGCACGGCAGCCAGAAATCCTTTTATTTACAAAGTGCACTGAGACAGCTGAATGAGGTTAGTATGGACAATATCATCATCAAGCAGCATTTTGAGCAGCACTGGTGCTAACAAGAGGCAGAGAGAAGAGAGGAGTGGAGCAGAGGCTACTAAACTAATAGTAGTAGTAGTAGCTAATAATGGTAGTAGTATTACTCCAGTGGAGACGGTAGGAGATGGAGGTGGGATTTAACAGGTGTACATGTCATCCCTGCTCTTTAAAAACGGGGAGGCAAAATGAGGTCTCCTTTTCTTTTCTCCTCTGCGTTGTACTGGCCTCATTGTAGTGGTCTAGAGGCTGTGAGAGGAGGGGGCCAGTATGGGAGCGCAGGGGTGCAGGCTGCATCCCCCTCCTCCCTCAGGGATAGCCATCATCCTCCAGACTGAGTGCCACGCGCTGCAAACAGCAGATAAAAAGACCGTTACCACAACAGGCTGGTTAAGGAGAAAGAAGTGAGATAGAACAGCGGGGAATGAAAACAGAGAAGCTCAGTGGAAAAAGAGGAGAAAGGGAGACAAGATTCCAGTCTAGGTGGAACCCAGAAGGAAAATGGCAGCTTTGTTATGTGATGCCCTCTCACTATTCTCATCCTCTCCCCAACCTTCGTCTTCGTTTCTTTCCAATTCAGCCCCCCCCCAACGTGTTGTTTGTCCCCTCCTTCCCTGGCTGCTCGTAGCGAGGAATGCAGGCTGCCTGCCTACGGTTGCGAAAGTCTGGCCCACATAATGCAAGCCTGATTCCTCTGGCTGCCCAAGCTGCCACACTGAGACAAAGGGCAAGAAAAAGTTAGGACGAGAAAAGAAGAGGAAGAAAACCACTAAAGAGATAAAAGGCAATACATAAGATTTGTACAAATGTTTGTAATAAAACTGGGAAAACGAGAGAGAAGGAGTAAAGCCCCCTCTCTCGTTAGGCGAGGGTAGGTTGTTACTTCGACCTTGAATCTTAATATGACTCAGTCGTGCACCTGTTTCAGTGTCTGTCTGAGCGTGCTTCCCGCCTGTCATCATGCCAGTGATACCCAGAATTCTTTGCCTTCTTTCTCTCCGGGGTGACACAAAGAAATCTGTGTTACCATGCCAACAGATCAAAGCGCTAGACTCCCGTCTCGCCCTCCCTCCTTTATGCTTTTTGGCTGCCCTTCGCCGCTTGCTCTCTGACACCCAAAACAAGAAGCATATTCGGTAAATGTCATAAACTCCTAATGACGCACAGTCTGGATTTAAGGGCATTTTACTTTACTGCTACGTGTTGCAGCTGCCGCTGTATCCAGGGTTTGTAGAAAATGCCGCTTCCAGTGACTTTTAAAACTGCATATACATCAATGGGAAGTCATCAGGGTAATCCTGAAATTGCGTTGCTGAGATTTATGGTTTCTGCAAGATAAATTGTATTTCGAGAGAGTCCTTCATCCTGATTTGTGCTCCTTTTTTCAAATTTTGTGTGACCTCAAAACAAAATCGCATTAGTTCAATGCTATGACGCAACTATCTACTCTACATGTCCAATTTATTTGTGAGCAGTGGCTATAGAGCGACTCCTCTTTCACCTCTCTTTTTTTGCAGCTCATCTGCACTAATCATGATTTCTTGGCTGCTGAACCTTTCTGAAGCAAAGGAATAATGCTTTGCCTGTGCACAAGGGTTTTGTCAGGAAATGGGGATCACTCACTTCAATAACCAAAAACACTAACACGATGCACAAATAAATGGGATGGCGGGTCGGCAGCAGGGATGTATCGCATGAATATGGTCGCTGAAGGTGAACGAAATGTGTGTCGAGGGTTTACGTGTACGCGTGACAGGTGTGTTCGGTAATTACTTCAAAAACATAAAGAAATAAAATGATATGTGAACGTGTGCGAGCCTGTTCTTTCTTTCCACCAGGCTGACATGTACAAGAAAACGGGCTTTTCCAAACCCTCGTGCCAACTCCAATTTTCCAAATATTTCACACCTCTTCCTTTCCTCCGCAGTACCTCTCACTTAGCGTTCGAGAGCATCGGCGCCCCCGAATACCAGTGAGAGTTGTTGTCTGTGACACCGCCCCCTAGAGGAAGCGCTATGAATGGCTGACTATGGCTGCCACTCACTGCTGGGTAGACGTGACCGATGGACTCGCTCTGACGCCCGATGTGGATTTCGTCGTCGTCATCCTCTGTGGTTTTGCGGTACACCGGGTTGTCGAAGTTCATGCTCTTGGTGTTCTTGCGCCGCCAGTTGCGCCAGACCAGGTATCCACCAGTGCAGAGCAATCCGATGACCACTGTGGCAAGGATAGGGACTGCATGTGTTTAACACACACACAACAACAACACACGGCGGGAGCGTTAACACAGCCCGGGGGACACAGAGCGGCGCTTTAAGCACTCACGCACAAACACACGTTGCACTGTTCACCTGAAGGCTCATTATTTTTCAGTTTTGGTTTTTGAAATGTTGTTTGCATAACAGCTTCTCAAAAATTTTAAAAACAAAACAAAACAAAACAAACAACAACAAAAAAAAACATGGAAATATTCGCCTTCTGGAAAACGTCCAGAGATACACAAGGAGATGAACCTGAAGGGGAAGCAGTCCACTTTTCTGAAACTGTTAGAAAAACTGGTGGCACTTTATGCATCTGTTTCTATAAATTTAGTGGGCTGAGCTTTTTATGTTTCATCCCCCGTATGTCTTCTGTATCTGCATTTTAAAAAATCTAAGCATTTATTAGAGAAACAATGAGCCTTCAAAGAGGAACTAATCATTCATTGCATTATATCCCCCCCTCAGTGTCACGAAACGATCAAAAACATGCACACACAATATGCAACATAAATGTCTGCATGGTACACATGCACATAAACATCATTCCAACACACACACACACACACGTGGGCACACTGAACCAAACTGGCATTTTATATTAAATCTGTAACCATTCAAGCCCTGAAGACACTGATTATGACCTTGTTTTTGAATAAAAGCCCCACAAGGTTGCTTAATTGTCATCAGCATATAATCCTGGTGCGCATTGCTCAAAAAACAGAATTCTGGGCAATGATTTATAATTTTGTATTTTATTGCACCGAAAAATTAATATCTGGAGTGTCCGGATGGGGTTATGGGAGGAGAATAAGAAGAGGGTAAGAGGAGGAGAGAAGACGGGGAAAGGGTTGGGATTTGGAGGATTTGAGATAAGCGCCGTCTCTCCTCTTTCATTACCATATCAGCATAACTGCCCTGCAAGGACCTGTGTGTGTGTGTACAGTGCATGCTTTAGAGTTTTTGTATAATGAAAGCGCAAACACCCAAACCAGAGGTAAGTCAAGGAGGTTTGGATATGTGTGCCTGCATTCATAGATGTGTTTTTCTACGCTACAGTACGCCTGTCTAATTGCGACTTTATTAGGTAGACACTTGAGATTCCTTCGTGGCTGGGTTGGAAACCCCAGCTCCTCCTTTGTTCTTCTCTAAATGCTCAATGGTTTAAAGGGAAAAAAAACAAACAAAAAAACCCATCAGCTTTCCTCTCATTTAGAAAATTTATCTCCAATGAGCGAGTGGCAAAACAGCCTGTCTTTGGCTAAAACTGATAATCATTGCTGGGCTGCTTCCCCTCATGGAGCTGTGGGTGGGTGTGGTGCATTACTGGGTATGAGCGGAGAGCTGGGGTGCAGAAATCCAGCCCGTGTGGACCTCCAACATTAATGTTTCAAAGCTGCTAAAAAAAAAAGAAAAAAAGATTTGTGGTGGCAATAAATGGGAGAAGGACAAAAAAAGGATAAAGCGGAAAGGGTTAATAGTCTCCAGGGTTATTTTAATGAGCTGATATTTCAACTATAGAGACTGGAAAGAGAAAAAAAATAGCTTTACAATCTTTTAGCGCTCCCCTGAATTATCAAACTTGTTAATATTAGGGATGAAAGAGATCTCAATTAGTGGCATATGCTGCCACTATAAGGCCATTTGCACATTCAGCTGATTTCCCAGTCACGTTGGGCATGAAAGTATGAAATATTTCCATAAAATTCGATTTTCATTTTAATCGGAGCTAATAGAGTAGATTAACTTTTCTAAGCCGGTTTGATTGAAAGAACTACAATTGCCTTTTTCTGCCTTTGTAGAGGCGGCTTGATGGTTTTCTCTTTATGTTTCATTGCCTAAACAGACAACAGCATTATGTCTGAGGTCATTAGCTTCCTGCTCCAGGCCAAAAACACAATTTCATGGCATTAATCCACTTTTCTCTCCCCTCGTCTCCCGTAAAGCGGTATAACCCACTCTTAGTCCGCTCGGTCACAGAAATAGGTCAGAACATTGGCCTGATTGATACGATCTGATCAGAGCGGTGAACACGAGCAAAATGTACTAACAGCTGGTCGTGTGATGACAAAACCTGAATTGAATTTCACATTTGCTCAAATGTCATTAATAATGACATAATGTGCATATTACAGCAGCCTGGCCGTTTACTGACAGAGGGGCTCCCTTCCATGTAATGGCTTTTTCTAGCCATAGGCCACGAGGATATTGCTGGATAATACCATACCTCAGTACATTTTTTCAATAGATGCGATACAATTTTATGCCTGAATCTCACTATTGAACCAGATATAATGTGTTGAATTGTTATTATTTTAATGAGAATGTTTTAGATTTAATCAGCCAGGTGGAAACGCAAACATCCTAAAACCCAGGCACACGCACACAAACACATAACCTCATACTCACACGCACACACATTAACAACAAAACGAACGCAACATGCAGTTAAGCAGACTTGAAGGAGCGAGGAGGGAGAGGCAGGCAAGCAGAAAGCAAAGACAACACAGTGAGGGAGTCAACAGTACTCACCGATAGGAATGACTATCCCCAGAACAGCTACTGTGATGTTGTTACCTATGAGGTAGTGATCACTCGCAGCTGAGATGAACAGAAAGATGGAAGACAAGAAAAAAAGAGAATCAAACCAAGAAAAAGTTTTGCTTCAAACCCCACCAAGTGCCCTCCTAGAGAGCAAGAGAGATTTCAACACGGGAACATCAAAAGAAAGGCTGGAAAAGGATATTTGCATAATATAAGGGCAGAGAATCCATCTGATTTCAGTTTGGACTGCTGACTTTGTCTTCCCCAGCAGCATGTGTAAATGAAAAAGCCAATGAATCACACAGGGATGGCATAAAAATGCAGTGAGATGCCTTTTAATACACGAAGGAACAAATGCGTTTCCAGAAACCAATGCATCAGAATTTGTATGAATATAAGCAACGAGCACATGATCTCGCATTACTCCATTCTTTTTCTACGAGACGTTTCAAAACTGTGTCACAATGCAATGCAGAAGACATTTATTCTGGACATGCTTTGCATCCTTACTCCCCTTCAGCTCTCACCCCAACAGGTCGGCGGGGGAGCTTTTGACATTAATCTCGCTCCCAACCCTCGTATTAGCAGCAGGCTAGCTGTTAGCCAAAAGTGTGATCAGATGGCTATAATGAAGTCTGGTAAGGAAGATTAACACAACAGAGCACAGTGCTGGCCCTGCATACTGATTGGCTCATTCGACAAAGTGACTGTTCCAGTTCTATGGCTGGCAAAAAGAGACAGATGGCATGTGACGGATGTGACAGACAATGCAGACGCACATTATTCTTCATAAATGAAATCATATAGTGAATGAAATGCAAATAAATGCACACACGTGCGCACACACGAGAGCCACAAAAGGTGAAGCGACTTCAGACAGCGAGTTCTGAGTCAGCAGAAGCGAATTTTGGCTTTTCTTAAGTGTGAGTGACGTCCAGTGGGTCCTACAGTAAGACTCAAAAAGGCAGATTAACTGAATCTCATTAAAGAAACTGCTCTGGAAGGAGGCTGTTCTGGAAAGGGAGGGCACTGAGAAAGGGAGACGAAGAAGAAAAGGGGACAAAAGTCTCAATTTCAGGAGGGTCATTCTTACTGGAGGGATTTTAATATCAAAACGTTTACTGCCACTTATTATTTAAATATAACTGTCAGGGTTAGAATGCTATATCCAGTACAATTAACAATGATTAATAAAACAGTATATCGTAAATATACTGCTCAAAAATATACTTTAAAAACACATCAGATCAATATCTGTACTGATATGGACTGGGTAATGTGTTAGGAATGAGAAGATTCCACATCGAAATGAAAATGATCAACCCACAGACGGCTGAATTCAAAGAGACCCTGAAAATCAAAGTGAAAAATGATGCAGCATGCTAGTCTGTTTTGTGGAAATTTCATTGCAGCATCTCAAAATGGTATGTGCTTGTACACATCCCTGACCAAGATGGGGCACACTCGTAACAGGACGACGGATGGTGTCCTGGGAGATCTGAACCAGGGTTTCACTGAACTCCTGGACAGTCTGAGGTGTGACCATACAGGATCGGATGAACCAAAACATAACATCCCAGAGGTCTTTTAGTGGATTTGGAACTGCCTGCACACTTTTATCACATGAGGTCAGGCATTGTCGCACACCAGAAGGAACGCAGGAACAAGTGCACCAGTGTAGGGTCTGACATTGGCTCCAAGGATTTCATCCTGGGAGCTAATAGCAGTCAGGGTGCCATTGCCTAGCCTGTAGAGGTCTGTGCCCCCCAGACCATTACTAACCCGCCACCAAACCTGTCATGCTGACGATGTTACGGGCAGCATCATGGCTTCTACAGACTCTTTCATATTTGTCACACGTCTGTTTTTTTTGTTTTTTCCCCCAAAATCTTGAAATCAATTTTCTTTAATGTCGCTGAAAGATGTGCAAAATTACTACCGATATCAAAAGAAAACATTGGTTACCAGCTGTGTTTAATCTTTGCCCTCCCCAATCAGACTCCTGGTTCTCCCTCGCCCCACCATGCCCTCCCTCCCTCCCCCCAGCAGCGCACATGTGTAACAGCTGATGCCGGTAAACTTGACAGTGTGCACCGAGTTGAAAATTATAACACATGGCCCGTGGGTTTGGAGACTCGTCTTGTTCATGCCCCATTTTTCTCATCTGTGTCTGCTCCACCTCTCATCTGGAGCACTTGTGGTGTGCTGAGGAGGGCTGACAACTTCAGAGACCGGAAGAAACGTGCCTCTCGCCTCTTAGTAACTCTGAAGTACCGCGACCCCTAAAGTAATACAGCAGGCAACCTCTTTAATTCCCAGAAAATCACTTTCTCTCCCGCCTCTTTTTCCATCCCGTCGTTTCATATCCATGTAAATGCCGCCTTTCCTCCCAACAGTGTGTCATCTACAACTCCCATCCTCCCCGTTAAAGTGCTGGACTGTCATGTTCTTTTTCGCTCTCTGTTCACTCTTCGTTCTCTGTGGCTTTACTGTCTTACACTGCACGTTTTTGTTTTTTTCATTTAACATTCCTTCGTTTTACTCCTTGCTCCGTTTCTCATTCATTTCCCTGTCCTCCAACTCCCACTTAAAACTTTCATCATCTTTCCCTGTTTCTCTCCATCTGTACAGCTTTTTTTCATCCTCAACACCTGCTCTTTTAATTATTTTTTTCTCTCCTCTAAATTACTTGTTAGAATGACATAAAGATATACAAGTATTACGATAAGTGTTTTAGTGTCAATCTTTCTTTTAGGGCATTTAAATAGTGCACAGGCCCATTATCTGACATAAATATATATTCATCTAAAGAGTCAGTATTAAAAAGGGAACCTTTTTCATTTTCTTAGAAACAAAAGACAAAATAAAAGCTGCCTCGGCAGGTTGACTGTCTCAATTTAATATTGCCATGCAGTAAAAAAGCTAAGAAGACTTTCAAAACAACTGCTGAAAAATACTGATCTCACAATTTGGTGGCTTCATCAATTTTGCTGCGTGGTGCTATCAAGGATTCTCGTCCGCTTCCAAGTACAATTTAATTCTTAGCGTGGCTTTGTAAACCATTGTTACGGCTGTTAGTCTGCTGTCACTGTTTGTCTGGGCTGCAAAGTGGTATTTTTCTTGCGAGCCAGTGAAGCGTGATTGGCGCGAGAATGAAGAACACTGCCAGTTATAGAAAGAGAGCGAGCGAGAGCTAAAGAGAGAAGGGGAGAGAGGTACAGAGGGAGAGACCAAGACAGAGATAAAGACAAAGAGAGTAAGAGAGAGGCTGTCAGAAAGTGAGGATGAGTGATGAGTAGTTTTATGCGAGAATGGAGGGGACTGTCATTTCTTAGCTCTGACACTTCTGTTAAGACGCTGGTCGCGAGGGATCAACAGTAAGCAGACCGAGACATAGTGCAGGCCTGTGAAGCGTTCGGACGGGTGTGTGAGCAGACGAGAAAAGGAATAGAGGAGGAGGTTGTAGGGCCAGTAAAGCAAATGATCAGAGGGAAAAGTGGAGGGGAGGAGAAGCTAGAGAAAGGAGGGATAAAAGAATTGGTTTTTAGCTTCCTGCTGATTTAATGATGGTGGTAACAGCAGTGATGGTAGCAGAGCAGAAGAAAACACTCGCTTTACACACATCCACATTCCTGTCATCATGTCACTTACCTCTGTGGGAGAGGTTGGCATTGCTCTCTTTCTGAATGCTGTTGGGAGCCACGGCAGCCAATAAGGGGGTGTGCGTGGACGTGGACTTCTGACTAGTGCTGCTCAAACTGGTCGTCTCTGTACTGGTAGCGGCGGGAGTCCGAGGGTGCTCTGTGATTCTGCCGCTCCTGGTGGTCTGAGGAGGGGCTGGTGTTGTAGTCTTGGCTGTGGGTGGTAATGTGGTAGTAGCAGAGGTGGTGGTGGTGGTGGTGGTAGAGGGCGTTGTGGTCGTGGCAACGGTTGTGGGAGTTGTTGTTGTTGTGCTTGTTGTGGTGGTCGTCGTGGAAGTTGTGGTTGTGGTGGGGGCAGATGTCGTGGTTGTTCGGGGTCGAACTGCGCAACAGAAAAACAACCAGTAGGATTTGAGATTTCTCTCCAGACTGCTCAGCTGTTGCAGCCGTTTCCACTTGTAAGCTCTGCATCAATATTCAGCATACAACTGCAGTCAACAGCAATGGCTCCATTGATCTATAATCTCTTCTGAGGGTTCTGGGTCTACCATGGGGTCTCCTACCAGGAGCGCGCCTGCAAAACCTCCAAAAGGAGGCATCCATGAGGCATCCAAAATAGATGCTCAGCTGGTGTGTTTGATACGCAGGAGCAGCGGCTCTACTCTAAGGTCCCTCCAGAAGTCCAAGCTCCTCAGTGTCTCATCTCTAAAGCTGAGCCCAACCACCTTATAGAGGAAATTCATTTTAGGTGCTTGTATTCATGATCTTACTCAGATTTCATGACCGTAATTTCATAATTATTTATTTATAGGCTTTGAACTGAAGTCTGTAGATCTTACATCACACCACAGGTTTGGATTGAGACATAAATGGATCAGTAAATGAAAAGCTTCACGTTTCAGCTTTCCACGTGCACCACAGCAGTCCGGTATAACACCTGTGTTACTGCTAATCAGAAGTGTGACACTTTAAAGTCCTGTACAGCACCACATAGGTACCGTGACAGGTACTGTGATGTTTCTATGTACATACTGTGCTAAAGTGCATTCACACATTCATAAGTAACAAGTTGCCAGATGGATAAGTTGCACAAGCGCATAATAAGCAGAATTTAGTGCAAGCGTTGCAGTCAGTTGTTGCAAACATCATATCACATCACAAGAAATGATCTGAGAAAACACTACGTTGTTAAAGCAGATGTACTACACCAGTACGTTTGGTTCATAGTGTACTACATGTACTAAAAGAAGTATTCAAGTCAGGGATTTTAGCTGAAGCTAAATTACACCACATGTCACCCCAGGCTCTTCCTCTGATCACTGTTTTTTTTTTTTTTGGTGTATCAGATTTACACAAATCCCAGTGCACACACTGCTGCTGATATAACATTCGGGTTTGTGTTTTCTAAACATTATTTTTAATATAAGTGATATGCGTTTCTTGGTGGTTGTAAAACTGAAATTTTGATCCAATACAGTCACAATTAAACCAGTGAGTTTTTCCACCAGAAATGTTTGTGTTACAGTAAGAATCCAAAAAGCTTTGGTACAAATGCACTCACTGCCCCTGCACCTACTCCCAGCCTCTCTCACAGGGATTCTTTGAAATATTGCCTCAATACATCTTCATCGTCTCTTTCCCCCCGTTTCTCTGTGTCAGCTCCTCCTAGCTCACCTATATAGACATTAGGTGTAGGTCTAGTAAAAATAGCAACGTTACAAATGTAGTGACTCTATAAGGGCAGGGGGACAAGCTGACTGATGAAATAAGGTCAGCGAGGTAGGTTAGAAGTGCAGGGAAGAGTCCCTGACCTAGTTCCCAAGATAGTTTTACACAACACTTATGGTTCAGATTCTCTGAAGGATCCAGGGCACTTTTAGCTTTGTAAACATTGTACTGTTAAATTGCAGACATTGAAAAATACTGTATTTGGAGTATCCAAAGTATTATGACAAATAGAAACAGTATAAATAGAAATGCTTTATATTTAGAATTTTAAATATTTGTGCTTAAATATGACCTAAAAGATGATCAGACTTTAACACTAGTCACACAGACGAACATAACTCAAATAAATAAATGAGACAAAAATATTCTTGGTAATTTAATCCAGTATTACACGGCTTGCATGTTTGTGGGTTTATTCAAATGAACTTCAGGTCTTTCCAAAATATTTCTGTCAGGTTAAGTTTGACTTAGAAACAAGCTCATTCCAAATAATTTTACTTATACATAGAATGACTTGTGTGCTTCGTTCTTGCAGCCTTGCTGTGCACCACTGCTGTTCTATGTTGTACTGATGGAGTAGCTGAGAAGTTAGCCTGGATTCTTTGTGCTCGTAAAAGAATTTAGGAACCGGAGAAAATTCAGGCCTTACTATTGGACTGATCACTGTTAGCCAACGACCCCTGAGAATGGCAACAATGCTCCTGAATTTCACTGTGATCCTAGCAGCGTGAATCTCATGTGACATTTATCCACACGAATCATTCATTCAGGTGTGCCTGTGGAATGTAGACTTACTGATCGCGCAGCGTCTCATGTCTGGTCCTAGCTCCATGCCGTCAGGACAGGCGCAGGTGTACTTGGGGGAGTGGTCTGTGATCTGAGGCGCCTTCAGGCAGAGGTACTCGCAGCCACCATTAGGCAGTGTGCCCATATTACAGGTATCGGGACCTTTGGGAACACAGGCAGAAATGTAAAAATATTAAAAAAGACTTTTGGCAACACATTTATCTCTTGGAAAACAATAAAACCCCAAATGTTTTATTAACGAGCTGTACTGGAAAAGGAAAAAAAAAAAAACTTGCACAAAGCCCAAATCTCAGCAGCCCAAATTTAATTCAAATTAGAACAAAGAAAATATCAAAGGTTTAAAATTACAGAATGTACAATTGTAACAAAAAAATAAGGCCACTTTGAATTTGATGGCAATAACTAGTCTTAAAAAAAGTTGGGACATGGGTAAGAAAAGGCTGCAAAAGTAAGTGCTAATGAAAAAGAACCAGCTGGAGAAACATTTTGCAACTAATTATGTTAACTGGAAACATGTCAGTAACACGACTGGGGATAATCATGTTATATTATATCATCTCGCAGATGCTGAGGTTCATCAATCTGCAGAAAACACACATGAAAAACTGGATGAACCTAAGAAAAAGAAAAACCAGCATCAAATTTGACACGTAGGCGCCGGTATCTCATCAGTAAAAAGTTTCTGCTGCCATCAAACTATTAACTAGTTTGATGCTAGATTTAGGAATCTAATCTTTATTCCACACACTTCCTCTTGCTGACTTTAGAGATGCGTAGGTGAATGCAGGAGAGTCTCAACTGCTTTTAATCTCTGTAACCCAAATAAAAAATTTACATGTAGTTTCTTAAGCACAGTTGCAGACTCATGGAAAAACACTGCAGTTTTGTGTCATGTGGGGAAGCGCGAGAATTAGGTCAGGTCGCAATCTTTCCTGATTTCTTATGTAGCTTTGGAGAGCAGCACGCCATCAGCTGTCAGGAAAAGCAACAATATCACTTGCTACACAGAGTGAGATTTTAATAAGCTGGGAATACATTTATACTTGATGTACAGTATCTCAGCATAATGACTATGTAATGAGAACAGCTGTCTAAGTTCTCAAAGCTCCAAATGTGGTAAAAGGTTTGGGAAGGAGTCATCAAACTGGGGAGGATGGGAAAAAAAGGTTAAGGAAGAGTGTAGGAAGGAAAGAAGAAAACAGAGGAGGAGAGAGAGGGAGGCAAGAGAAAAGTGAACGAAAATGATGAGGATGAGGATGAAGAAGGAAAAAAGAAGGACCGAGATGATAACAACAACAAAATTATGTTGGTTTTAAGCCATAAAAGCGTCACTTTCTCCTCCTGCGCTGCCTCTCTTTGGTCTCCAACTAAGAAGAGTGAACCTAGGCTTCAAAGACCCACTGAGCGCACAAAAAATTAATAATAAAACAGACACAATTTGGGAAGGATCGGACGAAAGCCTCTTTTAAGGAAGTGTGTCGATAAACATGAAAGACATCTGAGCGTCTCGAAATATGTGGAGACGCACAGTACTGTACCAAACCACACTTACAGATAATATTCCTCACTGGGGTTTTCCTTAGGTGCAGTACACTAACAAATAAGAAACGATACAAAAATGCAAGAGAAACAAAGATAAATTGTTAAAAGACAGGGCAGAGAGGAGTCTGAACTCACCAAGCGTTGCAGTCGAGGTCACATTTTATCAAATACTTTGCTTATCAATGCTACTCGTGTGCTTGGGGGGGCTACTCGGTGCACCTTCACTTAGCCTTGCAGTGTTTTGTCTTGCTTTTGTTGGCATTTGGGAGAAAACATTTTCCAATTCTGTGATTTCTTTTTTTGACCAGGACTCTTGATTTATTAATGAGGGAATGCAATTAGCTGCCTGCTGGCGCACAGACAAGATTGCTTCTGAGCGCTCAGTGAGTGAGGAGAGAAAACAAAGCATGAAAACACTCGCACAAACACATTTCTGGCACGCAGTGTCAAACACACCCAGGTATTCACAAGCAGAGGTGTTGACAGGCACACACGCGTGCGTGCAGTCACACACATCGAGAGTGCAAAAAAAAAAAAAAAAGACAAACATCGTTTTGACGTGCCGTGTCAAACACACCCAGGTATTCACAAGCAGAGGTGTTGACAGGCACACACGCGTGCGTGCAGTCACACACATCGAGAGTGCAAAAAAAAAAAAA